GGTACACCCTGGACAACGTATACTAATACGGCAAGTCTATTAACCGGCAATTGACTTCAAACTACCAAGGCTCCCCTATGTGACATATTCGACCACTTCCACAGTACTACATCACATTTTTACAGTACTACATCACATTTTTTCTAAATTTTCAACCTTCGCTTTTTCTAAATTTTCAACCTTCGTCTTTGAAACACTCTTCTGTTTCCCTCCTCTCGACTTTTTCTACTTTGATGTTCCTTCCCTTCTGTGAAGCCTGAAGTTAACTAAAGGGCTAATGATAACCATCAAAACGCCTGCTATTTGATATAAATAAATTTTATTCTACTTAAATATTTAAGTAGAAATTAACGTATTCGTCCAAAAAAATTAACCCCCTTCATGTCCAATCAGCCATTTCAGTAGAATGAGTAACAGTCAATCTGGCAAGAATTTAAAATATACTAATTCACTTCAAAATATTATTGGACCCCAGAGTTGAGTATTCAAAAAATTGGAGTATAAATTCGAATGAATAGTGCAATTATAACCATTTTCATCAGAATCAAATTTTATACGTATCTATTTGAACGTGTAAACAGACTTTCGATTAAGAATTTATTAAAATTGTAAATTTTTAGGCATCGTACTCACGAAACTCATTACCTAATATATGTACAAATGTGTACTTGTATGCGCTTCGCATTCCGACGTTTTAAAAACCAATTTTAGTTTCTTCTGTTATCGGAAGTCCACTGGTGAATTCAATTTTTAAAATTTTTTGATGGCGCGAATTTGTACTTGTAGACAAACTCTGCTTTGTGCCGGTAGGTAAACTCTGAATTTCATTAAAGATGGAGATAGCGGTAATTGGACACGATGACTCATAGGTCGGCTTAGTTATTGAATGCGGGCGAATTAGTACATCACTGACCTCGCGGCCAGCTGTCATCATCGAATGAGGAATGTAAAATCAGCCCCTACTCAATTTCCATCCTCTTCACAACTTGGGTAGTCCGGACCCGGGACTACCACCTTCGTTCTTCTTCTGCTTCACACTTACTCTGCATACTCCTTCACCCATTCACCCCTATTTACTTTCATCTTGTTGAATATACACGTGGTCGTGCTCGAGTGTTGGCTCTCGGAATTGGGAAAGACTAATATGTCCAATTAGCCTATGAGGATTGTTATTACCATGAGACGCGTCTGGACAAATCTTGACCAAATCCAAAAGTAGCTTGATTTGTCCCTAGAACAATTTGAAAATTCCAAATCACTTTAATTGCTACTACTCACAGTCAGGTCAAAAGATTAGTAATAATTAAGTGGACATCCTCATATTCCTTAGCATCACTAATCAGAGCAAATAAATAAGACTGAATGTGGTGTACCAAATCTTTTCATTGCACTCTTCCTACACCCGCAAAGAAGATTTCTGAGTCTACAGCAATCTGCAGAGCACAAATTGTAGTCAGGTCTTACGTATTTAAATACTTTACTATACCATGAGCAGAAATTGGGCGCCCATGACAGGGAAAACAGTATTATTACAGTTGCAAACAAGACAAGCGATCGGTTCAATTATCCAGATCCGTGCTTACTAAGTTTATATCTTAACTGTTGGAGGGTGCCAATGCTTCTTCAAATTCGCACAAGTGTTGTTGCAATTCTAAGCGCATGGAGATCCTTATGAGGATGTGCCTTTCAATCCACTCGTATGCAATAATTTAGGAAGAAAGCAAAAAAAACTATCAACACTCACTGAAATAGGAGTATGTCTTTCCCTATTTAGGTCTACGGTTTCGATATCATCACCTCAGCACTTATTGCATTAATACACTGCGTAGGCTATTTAAGGTTCGTCGCAATAATACAAGCTAGCATACGTTTTAAACCGCATTTACGATTTCTCTTAACATATTTCCAGTTATTCCTTCCCAAAATTAAGTGTCTAGGCAAAGACATAATCGCATGACCGCAGTCAAGTCTTGGGAAATTATAAATCCACTAACTCTACACACCTCACAAGGATAAGGTCCATAGAGGAAATTCGCATTTTCTGAGAACAGAGAAGCATAAAGAAAATGATATTAAATTAGTCAGAATTGGATAGAATTAGGGAAACCAAATTTTCATCAGGGGGTGTGCGATAGACTTACCTCCACGTGGTGCACCTTGGCCAACGCATACTCATACGGCGAAAAGTCTATTAACTGGCAGTTGACCCACTGTATGCCATATTCGACCCCTTCCACAGTACTCATCTTAACTTTTCTCTGCCTTTGTGTCTGTCTGACTCATTTACATCTGTGAATCACTCCTCTGTTCCCCACCCGTCGACTTTCTGTTACTTTAATGTCCCTACTCCTCTCTGTGGAGCTCGAAGTCAGCTGAAGGGCTAATGATAACTATTAAAACGCCTGTCGTTTGATGTAAATAAATGTTCATTAGCGATGGGCACTAACGAGAGGGGAATGAGTGTAAACAGTTGGAAATGATTATTTTACATGTCAATATCCGCTTTTGGCTTAACTTCCCTCTGAAGAGAGGACTTGACCTCTGCATTTTCTGGAGCAGTTCCAAAAATAGTTAAGTAGCCACACGGTCACAGAAACTAGACTACTTCTCTCTGACCAGAGATTGACGCTAAGGAAGCTCCGATCTTGACAACTTTTGGAAAGTCAAAACCCACTTAGTCCACTATCTCAATAACATTAACTCTCATTTTCATTTGTCGTTTTTAGACTCGCAACAGTAACCCGTCTAAAGCATTATACCTCAGTTCATACTTTTAAAAAGGCTTTATTTCCAAAAAGTTTGGTCTTTTTAGTTCGTTGCTGTTATTAAAAACACGACATGTAATGATTAAATGCGGATTCATCCCCAGGTTTATGTGGAACTGGTGCCTCATGCTGATGAATCAGTGAAAATTACAATCGCTCGTATTTGCAAAGCATCGGATGGCATAAACCGGTTCAAATTGCATTTTAGAGTATAAACAAGGGTTTGATGAAACATGAAATTTTAAACCAATAAACCCCAATCAAACCACAACGAATATAAAGGGAGTACGGATTAAACAGTGGAATGGAGTTGATAGTACCATCGCAATGCATGTGATATAAACGAGGTTCATACATGCGCGGGAATTCATTAATTTAGATGCTGTTAAAATTGAATATGAATGTGGCCAATATGAAAACGCAGAGATGGCGCAAAGAATATAAAGTGATAGATGAGAACTCATACGGGATACAGAAAAGAAGTCACTTGAGGGTAACAAACAGAACCCACTTTGTTGAGTATCGTTTGGGAAAACAATGAGGCTAATGAAAATTAAACGCAAAAGTAATCGAGTCCAATTAAGCTAACAACACCTACTTTTGA